AAGACAAGGATGAAGTGACCGAGACATAGTGAGGATGGTGCAGGTAGATGCAGGTAGCTCGCGACAGTGCATGCCAGACGAAGAGACCCATATCCAGTATCTGATGCCCGGAAGCAGTCCATGGTCATCGATCAGTGTGATTATAACGTAGTCCTTCGACTTGTATGGTCTGATGATGCAACAGAGCACTTTCGTATCAGTTCCCTCAATCTACCATGTATTACATTGTAATAATGTGGTCATTCAAGTCCTCTTTTGAGGCCATTTCATAACTGCATCTCTTCTGTAAAGGCTGTTGCGCATAAGTTTCAGTGAGCATATCTAAATGTTGTTCAAGCATATGCGATTGGTGCGGCCAGATCTGGGAAGTAAACATAGGGCAGAGAAACGGGAGCGTAGGCGCCATATAGCGGAAGAAATGTGCACCGCGTGCATATCGACCAGGCAAAACATGTGTTCCGACTGACCAGGGCGCAGTGAGGGATGGTAGTACCTGCATGGGAAAGATGCAGTTATACACAAGCTACCTTCCAGCCTATCGTCTCGTTCGTCTATACGAGAGCATGATGAGAACAGACCAGACACTCCTCATTCACTACCTTTGTTGGAAAACATGCACAGCCCATCGTCCCGCATTCAGTGCCAATACCAATATCGGTCTCATCTCGATTGAACTCACTTCCCCCTCCACAAACGTTCTACCCCAGCTCATACAGCTCCTGCGGACTTTCCAACTGATCCAGAACATCGACGTGTAGCACCAAATATCCCTCATCTCTGCCGTCGAGTGCATCGTGTGGCACAAAACTTGCCAAAATCCTACGGCTTTCTGGTATGTCAGCGAAGCTAGTCCGGTTGTTGGGTGGACCAGAGTCGCCGTGAATCAGACTCCATTTGGGCTCTTGGTCGATCTCTTGGGCCATCGCATAGTATTTCGACCGTTGACGGGTCTCTTGCAAAATCTGTACCATCCTATGGATTCTCTCTTGCTCGATCGTGAGGTCGTCGTCAAATTCGTCCGCCGAATAGATAACCTTGCACGTATATCGCCCGACATGTTGCAGCTCGATATTGAATAAGATTAGTACATGATTAAAGTATTCGTGACCGACCAGCAGTATTGCGCCGCGCCGACAGTCGAGAGGCAATGTGTACGTTCGTTTGGAGTCCATCCTCCTGTTTTGAGAGTGAGCATTAGCACTACAGTAGGCTTCATTGAACAACACTCGAGTGTCTTTGCTGAGAACTATCTGAAGAGGCCGTCGCTTTTCTACTCTGATGCTCGGCTCCTGGCTCATGAACATGACTGTGGGTTTGCGCTCCTCGACTTTCATAGTCATCAAAGGTCCGATGGAGCGAGCATCGCGGGCGTACCGATTTGTCCCTGGTGGCCCAAGGCGCACAACAGGTAGAGCAGTCCGTGTGTCATAGTAGCCGCAATGCAGATAAGCTAATCCGTAGGGGTCTTCGCCCTGGTGAACAACGGGAAGCTCGATCCTCAAGCCTTTGTTCGTCATTGAGTAAGGACTCTGGAGATCATCATCAAGACTCGGCATCAAATTGCTGGCCCCTCGAAACTTGGATGGATGTGTAGCCAAAGGCCCACAGAGATCATTCCTGGTGCTTTCGAAATCGAGCTGCCAAGCAAAGAGTGTTTGGTCGTCAGACTGCTTCATGATTTCTTCCTGACTGAAATGAGCGGGAGACAACAAAGAACCAAAGACATTTTCATCCTACCTGCAGGCGGCGAAATGCCTTGTTGCCCTCTCCATATAGCAGTGGCATGTTGACACCAAACAGTCCCAGAAGGCAATATGCCAAGTCCTCCGTCCTGGTCGTCTCGCGTTCAGATGCCCAAGACATACGCTGTGCAACACTACACTTCGAGACGTCCCCACCAAGTAGTATGTACTTCTCAATACCGGTTCTTCGCACAATCAAATCAAGCAAAGTGGATTTGTCGCCAATCATGCTCCAACCCGATGTCCCAGCCGCAAAGAAAATGATCTCGGATGGGGCTATCAGCTCTTGTAGCGTCCATCCTCGTGTCCACCACATGCTTCTCATTACACGCGCGATAGGTTCCAGGGCCTGCAAAAAGAAAGTATTTCTACGCGACCATCCAGTTCCACTAACACTGTATTCGGAGCCAACAGTCGCCCAGGCCCCGTCCGCGTCTTCTGCTCGGTATGTTGGCCAAGTATGTACGTCGGCCAAGTAGGCGTAGCAAACTATAGATCGTTGATACCAAGCATACATTGAATTGATGGCCTCGGACAGTTCCGCGCTCGACGATTTATCGATACAGCACGTGTCCACCCACACGTACTCTATCAGATCTTCCAATGCTCGTTCGCAACATTGCTGTATCTTCTTGAAACCAGACTTCCTTTTAGTGGCGGCCGCCCGCATTTTGAGCTCCTGGTCCTCAGTAGATCGCACCCCTTTTCCTTTGGCAGTTACCCGATCGCTCATCTCTTGATAGGTGACTTCTTCACCCTCCCATCGATGCGACAGGATAGCATATGGTGGTATGGAAGAGCCTTCGAACTCGTGGAACGTCATGTCGACCGCACGGAGTAGGCGCATGTTGTCGTTGGTTCCCGCGCGGAGTCTTTGGTTGACAACGGTGCGTTGTGTGCGAACCCAGTCGTTGAAGCGATCGTCAGTATCGCCAGTAATGCAGAATTTGCCAAAGGTGAATTGTAGCGCAACATCGTCAGAGCGGCTGAGAAGTGGCGAGGCTAGGCCAACAAGCCGTGGGGGCGGGGAGCTGCAGGAGCTGTTCCACCATCGCGAGGCGGCTGGCCATCAAGACCTCGCTTTCGAGATATTCTGAAGACGAGTAACTTGGGCCATGATAGAGGTGCCAATGCAGAGAACAGGTGGTGGCCTCCGCTAGAGGTTAGGTACTTCGTCTGTCATCATAGCGTGTGCATTATATGGAGGAAGGAGCGTTGCGCTGCGGACTCAGCTTGATGGGATCTCGGCGCTCCAACACTTGGCGACTTCACGCACCAACTTCTTATCGACGCCGCAGAGATACCGCAGACCCGGCGGAACAATGCGCACATCTATGTGCATCAAAGGAAGAAAACTTTGCTAGTCTCGGGAGTTTCATTCACATGAGAGCTATACAAAGCTTCGAATAGCGGGTGGTTCGAACAGTTATCTAAAGGAAATTGAGTTTCGTATCTCAATATGGTCTTGCTGCACATGCAAGTAGCTAGAGTCAGCTAAAGGTAGCGCATCAATACCCGTCGTGATAGTCGGAACTGATATCATATAGAAGAGCACCAGAAGTCATGGTCTGCACCCCACAGTGTATGATGAAGTCCAGCTAAATCACCCTACATGATCCACATGTGAAGGTGCTAAGCAACATCATGCACCGTCTCTCTTAAATAAATCTAGAGCTCGAACACTCCGTCTTCTTGCTGGCCCATTCCGAACCAGTTTCCGAGGGTGTTCCACGCACTCTGCTTCTCTCCAGGGAGCTGAACGCCATCAATCTCCTCCTGAGTAACGCTGTACCATTCGTCCTTGGGGATCCATCCAATGTACGCACGGTCTCCGAAGCCTCCGATCCAGTATATCTCCTCGACAACGAGACGCACCCACTTGCTCTCGTGAATGCTATTGCCTGGCAGCCACCACGCAGCATCCGGGTGCTTCTTGACATAGCAAGCCGTCACACCCAGCTTCTTGACAGCATCCATATCAATGTCCTCGAGACGGCCGACGAGCGAGAAGCGAGGGAGCGATGCTGGGCTGCGCCACTTGTTGTCCTGGGGGTGCCATCGCATGCTCAGGGTGATGTTGGAGCCGGCGTCTACGTTCTTGAAGGAGGTCGCGATGGTGATGGCGAGGATGGTCGGGTTGCCTGTGTCGGACTCGCAGTCACCGAAGTAGTCCATCAGGCCTATGGGCGCGCCGCCGACATCCGAGGGTCGTTGCTCAGTGGTGTGAGAGTCTGGGAAGACGGTAGATAACGTGCCGATGTTCTCTAGGCGCATGATCCTGCGAGCTTGAACGGCAGACTCGTGGACCGTTGGAATCTTGAAGCTGGTTCCATCGCTGGAGGACGGGTTCGCGAAGAAGTGCTGTGGTGATGGCAGGTTGGACGCTGTGGTGACGGAGATAAGGCCTGCGAGGGCAGCTTGGAGACGCATCTTGCTACTGCTTGTATCTGAATGATATAGAGATACAGTAAGGTGTTTCGAGAGCTAGATCGCTACAGTGAAGCGTCAGTGAAGTTGGTGGCTGATGGCAAACAGCGACGCGTCCGAGCGAAGCTACGGGACGCATCATGCGACACCCAACCGTGGCGGGGATCTCCGACTAGGGTAAAGGTAAAGTCTATTGCGTATGGCATGACCGTGTCGGGCACATAGATGGCTCATCCATAAGCATCTAGACACAGCATTATCGCGATGCTTGATAGTGGCTTGAGGGGCATTGGGGAAGTCGGCGTGTCTGATCTGTTATCCGTTGTACTTGTTGATGGGTCGCATTATCTTATCTGATCATCTCTGGTAGATGTGGAGGCGAGATTCCCATTCATCGGACATCCAGACATAGCGACCTAATAGATGACGATTTCCGCACCAGCATAGCTATCTAAATGCGCTCTGCTTATTCATTTCCTACGGGAAGTGACTATAGTGAATGCACAGTGGCCGTTCGGCTGAGCTCAATGCTCACAGCTCGATGCACTAGCGCTACACGTGATCTCGGCTAATCCGGTGAGCCGCCGTCCACAGCCCTGGAGTCATTTTGACCCTCTCGTCGCCGCCCAGTCATCGAACACCCAACGACCGCAACCTGTACGTATTTCGCCCGCCCCTACGACTGCACCTGCATCAAAAGCGAAGCCTTGCGAAACCAAGACTTTCAACTCGCACCCAACATCCGAAACCCCAGAGGTACACCGCTAATCGGACTTTGCCACCACACAGACAACTTCGAACGACTCATCACACCCATCAACAACCGCCAATATGGGAAAGGTTCACGGATCCCTCGCCCGTGCCGGAAAGGTCAAGTCTCAAAGTAAGTTTGGGCTCATGTGGAACGAATGCGAATGTCTGCTAACAATGCATAGCCCCCAAGGTAAGCTTCACCCATCGATACACCCGCGCCTCCAACCGATAGCGACACGTTACACCACGACCACGATCACGCGACGCCCGAGGAGAAGGACTGATTGATTGTGGATGTTATGTGGATATGGACAGCCGACTGACGCGCTACACAGGTTGAGCCCCAGGAGAAGAAGAAGACCCCCAAGGGCCGCGCCAAGAAGAGGCTCACATACACCCGCCGTTTCGTGAACGTCACCATGACCGGTGGCAAGCGCAAGGTCAGTAGAGATCGCGTATCTGCACAATGGGCAAGAGCTGAAACGTCCCAGATGAACCCTAACCCAACCTCATAAGCCAACCACGAGAGGAAGGGCGAACGAAACGAGCACTATGAGCTAGAGAATACGGTCATGAATTCGGTTTCTTCAGGAAGGCTATGACTCTGGATCAGAGGGAAGTGGGAATCACGGACGTCGCCACGGCACGTTCCTCAGCAGCAGCATGATCCCACACTTTGGGATGATGGGGGCATATTCATGGCGTACATGTACATTCTGCTTTTTGCACAGCTGCATCACGAATTCTAGCTGCTTGTGTTCCCAACTGATCATCTTGAATTGCGCGCTATGTGTTGCACCGTATCGTGTTCGCTGACTCCCCATGCTTGTCTCTGACATACGATGCTGTGTTTCGCTCATATAACGGCGTCCCAACCTTGATGTGACAGCTTAGTTCACATCTTCGAATTGGCACCATCATAGCATCTTGGTCGCATTCAAAAGCGGACAAGCCCGTCCAGCTTGTAAAAAACCCGTCATCAACAGCGAAGCAACCTCGGTAGGCTTGCCTTCATCCAGATCTATAAGCTAAGAGCTTTCTAAGCTCTGCATTGTCTGTCTTTAGTCCAATCCTCGAGTGCTGCATCGTAGATCTCTTAAGATCATACTGCGGTGGGAACGGCAGGTCCAAGCGGCGATCTACGTCACACCCGAACCTCACTCCACTTGAGCTGTCAGAGCACCAACACCTCCATTTGCAGAGCATCAACAGTGCAACACCAACAACAACAACAGCAAACATGTTCAAGCGATTCTTCGGAGAGGTGAGCCTTCTAGAATTGGCTCCCAGCATCACCTGCTAATACCATCCAGCACGGTGCAAAGAACGTCGTGACACTCTTCCACGCGCCTTCGAACCAAGCCTCCACTCGCGTCCTCACCCTCCTCAAACAAGCCAACGCACAATCCGTTGCGCATGCGACTGAAGACCAAGCCAGCTCCCACAAAGCGCAGGACAAGGCCGAGCGCACAGAGTTCGAGCTTGATGTCACAGAAGCCCCACCGACAACCGACCAGCTCAAGAACATTTTGGACTACTTGGGCGGATCAGGCGCGGCAGGCAAGGTTATAAGCGGGGCGGAGAACGAGACTGATGCCATGAGGAGGCTGAAGGCGGACGGAAGCGCGTTCCAGAGACCGCTTGTCGTGGACTGGAATCAGGGAAAAGCTGGTATGTATCCGCAAAGGAAACAAGAGGCTACTCGCGCTAACCCTGGTAGTCGCTGGAGAGAATGAGAGCGAGATCATGAAGCTGATACGGTCGGTACCGAAGGAGACAGAGAAGGTGTAGAGCGTGGAGAGATGTGATCTGTATTATACCCACTCCACTCAGCCTGTGATTCCGGATACTACACACTGGAAAGTACTATTGGCCTGCGAGATTGCCTCTCGACTCGGTATGTCTCAAGGCCTTACCGCTCGGTAGCTTGGGAAGAGACGTTTTGCTAGGCAGCCAGTGGCTGCATCGGCGGTGAGACACTGATGCAAATGAATGCAAATGCAAAAGAAATCCCAGCAAAAGCCTCTTTCAGCATATCGTAACGTAAGTGTTGTAATTCTCTACTGCGCGCGTGCTTCTGCTTTCATCCTCTCAGAATCCTTTGTGACTACTTCTTTTCTGTCTCTGTTCCTCTCCAGTCACCCAGCATTTTACTATGTCAATGTCACGCCAAATCTATACACTGCGACCAATAGCGTGGGCGGAAGAGCGGCGCGCGGAGATTTCGAGCGTTGGTCACTCACGCTCACCTCCTCTTTCTAGCAGCGCCAAGACTTGTTGCTCCTTCCACCTGAAGCAGCGACGAACTTTTGTTCGTTGTGCTACCCTCGCGCTTGTTACAAATCTCTCAGGTACTCTCCACCTCGCGTTCTCCATCGCAGTTGCTAGTTTCTACCGGCATTCGGCGCCGCTCAAGACCTTCCCCTGCTGCAGACACCACCTCCAGTTGTCCCACGCTTGCTCACTCGCACCTCCCTTATCGAGCCAGTAGTGAGTTCAGCCATGTCGGATACTGCCCAGCCACCGGGCACTCCGCCTACTGCTGCAGACACGCCGACCGCAATAACTGCAGACGAGCAGCCTGCGTCCCCCACCGATATGAACAACACTGTCGTCGACCCAATCAACCATGCAACTAGAGACCCCAAGTTCAGTCCGGGAGTCGGCCAGGCCTTCTTTTCTACCGAACTTGGTACCCGCGCTCCCCGTTCACTAGGTCCAATTCGTGCGCCCGTCATCGCACGTAGCGTCCAAGGTCCTGCGGCTGTGGTGCAAGCAGCGACCCACTGGCAAGTAAAGTACAAGAACCAGTGAGTAGATTGCCCCGCCCTACTCGAGCCCTATGCTGACTCAACTAGGTGTCTCTGCATTCTACCCTCACAGGGGTGGACCGTGGAAGACCTGTGGGATGCCGAAGATGTCCACATCGAGGGCAGGAAATTCTGCGAAGAGATGTTGATCTTCATCTCCCGAAACACCTACTACGCGGCGAACCGATTCGCTAAGGATTGGGCGCTCGCGCATCCAGATCGAGTCGACTTTATCGGGCTTCAGATGGGCAACGTCTACGACATCAACGATCCGCTTGCCATCGTCGACCAGATCTTCGTGTTCGGCGAGCCTCTTGGGTTCCCTCGTGTGTTCCTCTGGCACGTCGCTCATATTCTGATTACAACCTGGATCGAGATGAACAAGGCGACTAACGAGACACTGCGCGAGAGCCTGACGCCACAAGCACGCACTTGGGGTCAACAGTCCACCAATGAAGCAACCCAGCCTTCGTCCACCCTTGTCGAGATGTCTACAGACAATAAAGGCAGTAAGAAAAACCGCAAGATAACACGATCTCGACCCAGCAAACTGACCACACCGGCAGAGCCTTCGCCCGCCGTCGATAAGCCAGACCATGTCGCGAATGTGTCTTCCGGAGTACCAAACCAGCCTAACGTGCGCTATGCTCCTCCACGCATCCCGTCGCAGGGTCTCGTTCAGACTGGAGGCCATCCTGCTCCATTGAGGAGCGGCGATATGGGTGTTCCGGCGGGACCCTCGAGACCGTCGCCCAACATGCACGCGCTATCCTTGAATATTCCAAAATCCAATCGTAACATGAACTCCGGATCCTACGTTCAGCAACACGGCTGGGTTGAGAACAATAACCGCACTGCGTATGGTCCATACCCACGACAGCCTTCTGGCGCTATGCTTGCCATGCAGTCGCCTCACTTCCTACCCCCGCAAATGGCACCGGGCCAACATATCGCTCAGCCAATGATGTCGGGTGTAGTTCCGTATGTTCAGGTGGTCCATCATGGCTTTGCTCTCCAGCATCCCGACCCTGGCCTGATGTCTCGAGCACAACTCAACTACCAGCAGAACATGATGCAAGCTCAGCCAATGGGCCCTATATTCACGCAGCAGCCACACAGCCAGCACGTCTCGATGGGCGACATGACCAACAACATGATGCTTCAACACCAGGATCCTCGTGCACCGGTGCCCCGTCGTTCCAATCCACCGCGCAACCCCCAAGAGCTCTACGACCCTTACGGTGGCAACAACCCTAAGTTCAACGGTGCCCCGGGACACAACAACATAGGTCGGAAGGGTGGTAACAACGGCTTCGCCACTCAGTCTGGTCGTGGCCGGAAAGTGTCCAACCCAGGCGGGCGGGAGTCATATAACAGGTCCAACGCTGATTACAACGGCAACGTGCCATCCGGCGGACCTCGATATGCCGACTACAACAATCGACGTCGCCCATCGGAAGACGACCCGGCTATCACTGGCGACTCCGTCTCTGGCTGCGGTCATACATGGATTGGACCCAAGAACCAGACCGTCACCGAGCTTTGGATCGGGGATTTGTTGCCCGAAACCGGCGAGTCTGAAATTGCACAAATGTTCAAGCAGACGGTCGGCATTAGCCCCATCGCGGTCTCCTTGAAGGGCAACAAGATCGGCGCAAGTTCTTTTCATGCCTTTGCTACGTAAGTCCACTCGCCGTTGGCTCTGTGGATCCGCTGACACATCTAGATTCGTATCAACTGCAGATGCCAGCGTAGCCTTGGGTATTAATAGGTTTAATCCTCAAGTACGTGGAGTCCGTCCCGTTGTGACGGTACCAAGGCGTTTCTACCAGAGGGATTCACTATCGAGTTCAAGCTATTTCGATCAGTCACATACTGGGCGTGATGCTTCACGCATGTTGATCCAGAAAGACGATAAGCCTGTCACTGATGTAGAGTCAAATGCACCTACAGAGAGCGCCAAGGCATCGTACTCTCCCCAGGATGCTAGAAGCGGCCTGTTGAAGAAGCCATCCCCGCAGTCGGACGTTCCTAGCTATCCAGAGACAGGAGACGTCAAGCTCGAGATGCCCAAACGTCAGCAGAAGTCTCCTACAAAGAAGAACAAGGGTAAAGGTAGGCGCGAATCAGCAGTCAAGAACACTGATGCAGCCGATGAGAACACGAAAGCTGCTGGGAAGCTGAACTCCGATGGCCCAGCTGTCGCGAAAGAGGAAGAGACCGGCACAGAGTCTACCAAAACCATCACTGAACCTACGAAGCCAGCGACTGTCGATGGGCCTACTTCTTCGGCTAAAGAACATAAGTCCTCTCCCTCCGAATCTACATCAGCGATAGACCAGCCAGAAAATGTAGCCGACGTCTCTACCGTACTGCCACCCAAGGATTCGGAGACCCTGGAGGCAGGACAAGACGCCAAGACAACACAGAAAGAGCGTGACACTGACGTCCCTCTCAACTTCGCGGGCGCCCTTGCCAAGAATCTAGCGACTACATCTGACGCTACTCCCATCGCTAAGGATAGTGAGAACACAGGTGGTGGGCCTTCGAGTTCAACTCCGATAGAATCGTCTGCGCATTTAGCAGACAACGACGTCTCGGACGATGAGGCCAAGAACGACACTAGCTTCCATTCTGCGCCAGAAATCCAGCCTGAGTCTGTGCCAGCGCAGCCGCAACCAGGGCTCCAGGACGAGGCGATGATTACGAACCATGGTACTGCGACCCCAACCCAATTCTCATATAAAACGTCTGACAGTACATAGAAACCACAAAATCGCCGTCTATACCTACCGAGACCAGCCTGGATGAATTTCCACAACTGATCACCCCGCGCAATACTACTCAGTCTGATCCAACTGTAGCTGCGCCGCCAAAAGAAGATACCGCCCCTCAGCTTCCAGCGTCGGACAGTACACAAGATCCTACAACAACCTCTACTGCTCAAGGAAACGAAGAAATGTCAACAGCTGCAGAGACCTCACCCGTCAATGCGACCAAGAAAGCTGGTGCTCAGCAGATGCAGTCGCTCCACCCGTTCGCGAAGAGCAACAAGTCTCAGGCTAAACGAGAAAAGGAGGCTAGAAAGAAGCAGCAGAAGGTGAGTCTTGAATGTACGAAAAAACATGAAACATATGCTGACTTTGGTTTTTCACTTCTACAGAAAGAAGATGCTGATCGGGTCGCTAAGGCGAAGGCCGATAAGGCCATATCCTCGCAAAAGCCCAACGACGCTCCCTCCGCTCAGCGTGAGACTGGGTCTCTAGGAGACTCTGTGAACTCCTCTGGAGCTACAGATACAGTTGCTAAACCAGAAGCGGCCAACTCAAAGTCTGGCGGTGATAGCACCACAGGAAACAAGAAGTCCAAAGGCAAGGCAAAGATGCAGCCAGCTGGTGCCAGCTCTGCCGATGGCGAAGACAAGGCTGTTGCCGAATCGGAGAATGGTAAACCCAATGGTAATATCAACGATTCCAAGGATGTCTCTTCAGTAACTCACCAGGCGGAAAAGATGGAGGCCTACCTCGCCGCGCCAGCCAACCAGGGATCTTCGGGAGACTTTGGGGTAACCCCAGTTCCTGAACCGACACCCTCAACCCCGCCGTTTGTCCCTTCAATTACCCCAAAAGCACAAGGCCCTTCCCATAAGATGCCGGCCCAGGAAGTAAATGATCCCCATAACCTCACTTCCAATCAACACACTCACGTTCCAGGTCACTCTCGCCGCTCTTCCGCTTCCACGCTAGTCGGAGAAGAGCGAGTGCTACCGTCTGCTCTTACCCCTCCTGCCCCTACCCACCCGGACTCCTCGCGAACCGTCTCTCCTGATGAAGCACCCCAACTCGACGCCACCCCGACTGTAGCACCCAAGAAGAAAAAGAAGAAACCAAAGAAGAAGAAGACCGCAGCCGTCCTCCCTTCAGTTGATCCCGATCCACCCATCGACGGGGACTATCATAGCTATGATCCTTTTTCGTCCCAAATGAGCCACATAGATGCCATTCGTCGGGCTAACAAGTACGATACTACCTCTTTCTATGCGGTTATAAACGCGCGAATGGAGAGGGATGCTGAAGAGAGCAGAAGGGCTGCTCGAACCCTTGCGGATCTGAATGAACACGCTAGCTGAGGAACGAAAAGACGCTGGCCTATTGTCCATGACGTGTACGTTTCACTCAACCCTCAAGCGCGATGTAGCTAATTGTGTTCACAGCTTGAAATGACCGTTCAGGTCGATGCTTGATGGATAGACGTGCCTGGCGATGGACTTTAAGAGGCTGGAGCTTGGGAGAGGGATGATCATGGCTTTCGATTGCTTGTTATCCTCATTCTCTCATGGTGTACCGTGGATGAGGCTAATAACCACATCCCACACCGCAAAGGCTGGTATGGTTCGCTCTTCATCTGCTGGAGACGAAAGGAGAACATAGAAACTTTCACTTGTATGCATGATTTCGCGTGATTTATGCTTTGACTTGTTGCGCACCCCTCATTTATGGAAAAACACTCGACACCCTAGAGCCAACGTTGACGTTAGCCACCTACTTCGCATTTTTCTACGTTAACGTAGGCTGCAGACGTGTTCAGGCTTGACCTTGTTTGAGGTGCTCTCATGGTGTTTAGTTGATCAATCCGCGCATACCTGTGAAGCGTGATTGTTTCATCGTGATTCTTATTATATACTTGTAATCCAAGAAATGCCCGTGTACGCCGTTTTCATGCCGCTAAATCCAAGACGTTACTAAACTACCATGTCGTACCCAACATTCCGTCCCTCCTCACCGTAACACACAGCGTCCCCAAATCCATAAGCATCATGAAGCGCAGCCTGGAATTCTTCTATCCCTCTTTCCAGTCTCCCTCGTTGTTCCTCCACACCCCCGATATCGAAAAGCACCTCTCTGCGAGCATGGCCCTGACCGAACCATATCGATCCAGCGCTCTCGCTCCAGTTCGTCTTCAAGCTGTCTTCCAGGCCGCGACGGCAGAAGGCTAGGAGATCTGCGTGTTGTCTCTCTGGGGGCGGCGCATGTGCATCACCAGCGTAAGAGGGGATGGTATCTGGTGTTGCGCCGCGGAGAAGGTGGGCGATGAAGATGATGAGCTCCCCGATGTAGGTGACTAGTGGTGGTGGATTGAGATGTGCGGAGGGCATGGTGCGATTGCATATGTATTCGAGCGGAGACAAAACGGACTTGAGAGCTTGCAGCATATGCGTGAGCGCGGCAAGGACGTAGGGAAGCTGGAGCAGATGATGATTGTCCTTGAGTTGTTCTGTACCCCGGATGAAGGCGTGTGAAATCGAGACGATGCAGCCGACGGTCGAAGCGAGACTTTCAGGCTGAGTGATACGCAGGTCGAAAATCATCGTTTCTAGGGTCGCGGGAAGTGCTTGCAGTATGGGCTTAGCAATGGCGAAGGCTGTGCTGGATGAGAAGGCTTCTTCCAAGTATGCGGGAAAGATGCCCTGTAGCAAGACCGATCGCAGTGCTACCCTATCGCCAGTCGGCGCCTCATCAGTGCAGAGAGCAGTTGTGAGCTGGTTGACCAGATAAGCTTGCTGATTGTCCGCAGCGGCTTGTTGTGCGACAGTCTGGATGAAAAAAGACAGCTGTTTCGCAGTCCCAGCATCTGACAGCTTGGGCGCGTATCCACAGAGGCGAGCGACTACGTAGGTGGGATCTCCGGCTGGGAGTGGGAAAGCGACCGAGTCTGTGAAGAAAGGCAGTACAGGGCAGATGTCGTTCGCGTATTGCTTGAGGAATTGGACGATCTTTTGCACGAATTCGACATATGCGCCTGTCACCGTTGTGCCTTGGCGGAGCTGCTGGTAGTTGTACTTCATAGATGTCATGAAGTCCTTCAGCATCGACGCGTACAGCCGTTTCATTTCGCCGAGACGTAATGGTTCGGCTCGAGTGATGGCGTGGATGTCGTCGCGCATGTTGGAGAGAATGCTGGAGATGAGGGCAAGGCGTCGCGTGCGCAGAGTGTCGGCAGTGATGTCCCATTTCCCAGTCTCTAGATCGCGGAAGAAAGGCAGGTTCTGCATGAGCGGGTGATGTTCGTCTGTTTGCGCGATCGCGTGCAGCAGTCTGTGCTGGAACCTCAGCATCGACTCTCGCTCGACCAAGCTTACCATTAGAGCTTGGAAAAATTCATGTCGATGCTCTTCGTACGCGGCTGAGTCACAGTCGGCGAGAGCAGCCATGAAGTATGGGCCGAATTTGCGCGTCTGTTCGGTCTGGCGTAACTGCTTCCACGATACTTGGCTAAACGAATCGAGATAGTACGACCATGATCTTTCACCCAATAGGACCTGGCCTTCTGCAATCCGAACCCATGTATCGATGCAATCCATGAGCAGGTTATCGTCTGGCGAGTTCTCCGCGCCAAAGGCGTTCGACAGCAAGTGCCAAAGTGGAGTCTGGATGAAATCCAATCCCGATTGTTGAACGGTCTTTGCGGGGACATCGACATCCATATCTTCCAGGTCATCCATATCGGGAAAGTCACCGTAGTCCTGGCTTTCTTCACTTGTCTGTTGGCTTACGTCTTTCTTCAAGTTGGCTTTCTGAATCTTCGCATAATCTTGAAGGACCTTCATGACGTCGCGAATAACGTTCACGAGTCGATGATCTTCCAGATGAGGGAGCTCCAAAAGATGCATGATGTCGGAGTCCACCAAAAATGCCCTTAAAGATGATTGATCTTTTGCATGTTGGATGGCCCTGCTCATACCTGCAATGCAGTCTCTTAGCGTCGCAATAACCTGGCCCTGGTTCTTTTCCATCGTTTGACGAACCATGACGGCAGAGACATCAGTAGTGCCGTCCAGAACACCAGACTTGAGATAGTCGTCAGCTTCAGTCTTTGCCAACTTGTACTGAATGAGCGTTTGGTGCATGATGTCTTTGTGCCAGGATGCAAATGGCCGTGCAGAGGTATATGGCTCTTCGGTTGATAGCTGAAACGTAGCAAGGTTGGCCCAGGCTCGAACGCTAACTCTACATGCCTCGCGATGAGAGCTTTCGTGATTGACTAGGTCACGAATGTGATCAAGCTTTGGCCGACAAGCGGGTGGCGCAGCCCAGTAGAGCGTTGAGAGTAGGTCGTGGTGATTGCGTAGCGCTGCAAGATTTTCTTCGTCCAGGGGCTGATCCTTGGGATAAGCACGCCCATGATTAGGCAGTGAGCGGAAGACAAAGCTACGAATCTTCTTCTCGGGATAGGCGTTGCTCATACCCTGGAGACCTAGAGCGAGACACTTCAGTGAGATGTGAAAGGAGTTCTCGTTCGGCTCGACGTTGAGTGATGGCGCAGTGGCAAGGTCATTGAGAAAGGGTACCGACCCAGCGCCTGCTTCACGTCGTAGGCTTTTGAGTCCATTCTTGCCAAAGAAATCCAATACAGCGTTAAGCATCAACTCCGGACGTCTCCAGTGCCAATGAGCAATCAACCGATGGCATCGTGCAAGATTGGCGCGGACGTATCCATTCAGCGACGTGCTGTGCTTCCTGTACGTACTCGGGTATAACTCGAATAGTCTGCGCAAGAGATCTCGAATGCAGGCCCAATTGTCGCTTTTGAAGGTCTCCCTCCGGCTTCTAAGCGGTATGCCGGACAAATCGATTTCGTTGTAAGGAAGGAAGGTGAACATTGTGGCCCAGGTAGCCTCGAAGGCAGGTAAAGTAGTAGCGCCGCCCAGCTTGGAACTAAGCTCTTGACTGGCCAGATCCCAGAAACTCCATCCTGGTATGTCCATCTCTTCCAAAACATGCATGCATATGACCGTACTCTCAACAACCACGTCGGTATCTTGTATACCCTTCTCGCGTATGGAGTGTCGCTGGTTTTGTTCGAGAAAACTACTAAGACTGGGAATGCCGTGCCGCATCAAGTGAGCGACGACAGTCTTGGATAAGCTTTTGGCAAGACCGATAACTCCGACTTGGTTGCCTGGAGAAATGGTAGGATGTTGAGCGATGTAGTGGACTTGAAGGCTGATGACAAGAAGGTATGCCATAGCACGGACCACACCATGAGTATGACTAGGATCTCGGCCGTTCAGGGTACCTTGAGCAACCAACAAGTTGTCAAAGATTGTTTGGCATAGCCGCAACAATTTGGCCACACAGTCATCCCGATCAATGGGATCCAAAAAGCTGAGATGGTGGGTAATATAGCCGATGAGTGATCGTGCCAATCGAGCTGAGTTCAGTGGGCTTTCGTGGACTAATGATGACGTATCAGGGTCAGGTCCATGGACTTCGACAGGTTCTGATACCGCTTTCACAATCTCTTGTAGCCTAGAAAATGTCTCATCATTCCATGGGCCACATCTGACTGACAGAACGCTATGGCTGATGGTGCAATGGCCGGCCAATTCATCGAGGTCACGGCTACCAGGCTTGCTGACACGTAGAGCTTGGCGAAACTCGTCAGCCCCGATGAATGTGGAAGAATGGAAGTACGTGTCGGTGGCTAGAGAGTATACATCGAACGTGATCGGGTAACGGGTGCCATAAGGACCCAACCCATGGAGTACGGGCAAGCCGTCTTCCGTGTCGACCTCTTGTGGTTGAGGAGCGTCGGTGTTCTTGAGGATCTCGTCAACTGCTGGCTCGCTTGGCTGGCGATATTCTCGCGCATCGACATCAATTCGTTGCGCTTGTACCTTTCGCTTCAAGCGTCTGCGAACCGGAGGTTGTTGTTTGCTTGGACCTTCAGTTTGGCCTTCTCCGACGTCTCTCGCGGAGGGGAGGGGCGGCAGTTCGGTATTGTCATCTGCGAGATACCTAGCCAGCTGTGGGTTTACGAAAGGCTGTTCGCTAGGCAGCTGAAGACCAAACTGCTGATCGACACGCAAGAGGCCCTTCTCGAATGCGATTTTCCTGTGGCCACGGCCAAAGTCGTTCTCATCGCCTTCAAGTTGCGCGGTTCTGAACGGAAGAGGCGCCTGACGCCCAGCTCGTCCTGGATTCTTGCTTGATTGGACATGTTTCTTTCCTCGTTGCGTGGATTTCCTGACCTGGGTCGTAGAGCGCTGGAAGATGTGGAGGCCTGCGGGGATGCTTTTACGTGGGCGTGTACGGGATACGTCCGTCCCGGCTTCAGATTGTACCTCAG